CATGTTACAATATTTATGTAATGCCTTAAGGCACGATGTCATACACTCCACTAGTTCTAGACTAATTTCGAATCCGATACTAGGACAAGAAATATAATAACGTATAATTATAGAGTGTTTTTATTTGAATGATTCAAAAAACATTCGATTCTTATTGATGGGGTGACGTAGTGATTAGTTTTTGGCAAAGGCATGTCCAGCAATTTCGGAGATACGGAGCGAAAGTGAAAAAAATGGCAGTTTTTGAGTGAACGGAGTGTCCGATTTGAAAAATCTTTCCCAACTTTTAATCAGATCTTCATTTTGTCAAGGTTTGTAAAAAGTTTTTTGAATTATTGAAATCGGGCTCCATTCTCTTAAAAAGTGCATTACCATTTTATGCACTTTTTGCTCCGTATCTCCGAAACGGCTGAACCTACCCTTGCCAAAAACTAATCACCACTTTTCCCCATTATTACGATATGAATGTTTTTGGATTATTCAAATCGGATGATCCGTTCTCTCAAAAACTCGATTTCTATTACTTGCACTTTTTGTTTAGTATCTCCGAAACGGTTGGACCTGTCTTTGCCAAAAACTAATCAACATGTCTCCCTATCAATAGGAATCGAATGTTTTTTGAATCATTCTAATCGGTTGATCCGTATTCTCGAAATCGTGGACGCAGAATTGTATCCGCACACACACACACGCACGCACACGCACATATTTCCATTTTTGCTAAAGTATGCCAAAATGTTCAGAAACCTTTGAAACGTATAGATATACAAAAATTTCGACTTTTGATTTTTTGCGATTGCTACAACATCCTACGAGGAGTTAAAAAGGGTATGGGAAATTCAAGAAATTTGACTGAAAGATGCCATGTACCACTAGTTTATGGAATAAGATCACAAGATCACTTAGAGAGCCATACATGTTCTTTTACCAAAAATTATACGTCTTTCTAATTACTGGCACGAAAACTATCGGCATCGACAAAAGTATCGAACTGAAGCATCGATATACCAGAAGTACTTAGTATCGACAACAAAGTATCGATACTTATTTAGGAGCACTCGATACTATCGTTCTTGCACTAATCATATGATTGTAAGTTGTCAAAAACAAATTTTCTACTTCCTAAATTTATTAACTTTTTCTTAACAGCAATTTTTGCTGTTAATCTTCATCTTGATATATCGAATAATCAAAATAATATTCCATCAAAAATGGTATTTTGATGTTAAACATCACATTCGAAACGTTAAAACACCTAAAGAAGTGACCAATATATATTTTTTTTTAATACATCTTTTGTGTCCTCAGATCCTGCCTCGACTTCTTCCCAAGATCAAGTTTTACACGAGTTGCGTGCCAAATTGGCTGATTTGGAGACCAGGTGCCAAAGTCTTGACGAAATGAAAACCGAAAATGAAACCTTGAAGAGCAATTTGGAAAAGATGCAAAATGAAAAAGACGAAGCCAGCAAAGAATTTGTTACCACTATCCAGAATCTGGAGCGAGAAGTCACGAAATTGAAGGATGACAAGGTGTACTTGAATAAAACTCTTACAGACATGGAGGAAAAAAATGCTGGCAAGCAGGAGGAACTAGAAAGGTTTGTAGAATAGTCATAGAAGAATAAGTCTAGACAATATTAGAAAACCCTGTGTTTATATAGACGTTTCTCTCTTCCGATTTTTACATTCAGAAGGAATACTTAAAGGGTCCTCCGCTCGACATGATGGCGCCGCTTTTGGCATTCAAATTAATGGCGCAAAATTTGAAATGAAAATTAATGAATTTTAGTAATCGGGTATTTGAAACTAAATTTGGTATCACGATCGTATTATGTTTTAAAAAATATACTAGATAATATCTACATATATATATAAAAATAAGTCGGGTTTTCCTTCCTGACGATTTAACCTCCAGAACACACGACAATTTTGCATTCGTTGGAAAGGTCTCGGGCTCCGCAAGGTTTATAGCTAAGAACGTTAGTGGTGCATGGAATCGTGCCTTAATGCAAATTGCTGAAACTTCACGCACCGTAATTAAAAATTCGAGTAATGACATTAGTGAGAATTATCAGAATTATGCTTGGTTAAATCAACGAGCAATTCTTGCCCCAAACAATAATGATGTACGCGCACTGAATTTCACCATTCAATCAAAAATTGCTGGCGATTTGGTGACATACCAATGATTCCGACTGGTCTTCCGTTTGACTTCAAACGATTGCAATTTCCAGTTCGCCTTGCGTTTGCAACAACAAGTCGCAAGGCCAATCGCTTAGTGTTTGCGGGATAAATTTAGAAAATCATTGTTTTTCACATGGAATGGGAAACCATCCGCCGCTTTGTTTGTGTTAACGTCAGACCAAAAAACAAAAAATGTGGTTTACCAAAGAGCACTTCAATGAAACGGATAATTTGCGGATTCACTTTCATTTACTAACAAACACTTCATTTTTGTAATCGAAATAAATTTATTACTGTTGTGTATAAAATCAAGTTTTTCCTTTTCAAATATAAAACAAACAAAAAATTTCTTCACCTTTCTCACGAAAACTATCTGGTGGCGAAACGGAGTTCGTCGGGTTTGCTAGTCTATTATAATAAATATACAATCAAATCGAAATATAGATCAACAAATACACTGCCGGTTTATATATAATAGATATCACATCTAATCTACTGGAATAACTTCTACACTTTTTCTACCTATTAATATAAATATTTAATGTAATTTAGTGAATAATGCATTATAGAGTTAGTTTATTACATCGTCTGTCATTTCTAACTCTCATTAACTAATAATAATCCCGTGCAAAATTTGACATTCTTAAGCAATTCATTTTCTTCCCAAGTATATTCAGATCCGTGTAAAGTGGTAATCCAATTTTAAACAGTTGGAAGATTTCTATTTGTGTATTATGTCTTTCTTGTAGAAGCTTATACTTGATTTCTTACACAATTTCCTAGAACTGGCCTCTTTCCTTAAAGTGTATTATGATTAGACTAATGTGTCAATGCAATACGTAGTAATTATGTCCTCCTTATGAGTTTGAAGCTGTTCTATTCATATTGTCAAAGGGCTATGCATTTGAGAGCAATTCCTAATGAAATCTTTATTAACAAATATACAAACACAAACGAACAAGAATCACTAATTTGTCACCTGACACAAAAATAACACTGATGTTTTTTAGTAACCAACATAAAACATTTGAAAATACTTTTTCATCGGCTCATTAGCGCCTAATTTGCGACTACAAATGGACCCCTAAGTAGCTCTTCTGAACGAGGATTTTATTCTGAGATAATAGGCCCTGCGAATAAGTAATTTTATAAATGTTTTATCTTAATCTTTCTTCCTTCACCAGGTTGCGAGAAGATATCCAATCTTTGCAAGCGTCCGTACAAGATCAGATAGACCTGCAGAATAGTTTAAGTGACTTGGAATCTGCAAAAAGTGTCCAAAAAGATGAGTTATATGAAAAACTATCAGCCGAGAACTGCCAACTCCAATCAAAACTTCAAGAAGTCTCATCGATAACAAATATGTTTGAAAACCTAAAACAAGAGAACATAGAACTCACAGAAAAACTGAAATCTTTAGAAGAAAAATACGAAAACACTGAACGCTCTGTAGAATCCAAAATATCAAATTTAAACCAAGAAATAGATTTACACATCGAGAGGATAAAGTACTTAGAAGAAAAATGTAAAGACTACGATTCGATTAAAAAGATTAATGTAGAATTAAACAAGGAAACACAGGAGTTGACGAGGAAGATCAGCGAGTTGGATGTATCTCAAAATGCTTCTGGAGGCGAAAAGAATCAGAATAAAAATATCGAAGTTGAGACTAAGTTGGCACAAATTATGAAAGAAGTCGATGAGGTTTCAAATAAAAACCTGGTTTTAGAACAGAGGTGTAGTAACATGAGTTTATTGGAACAAACAAACGAGAAATTGAGGCTTGCGAATGAGAAGCTGACGAGGCAACTAGATGACACTCTAGTGAGTATTAATGTCGTTTCATCGTGATTAGTTGTTTGAAAAAACGGAAATTTGCAGAGTGGCTTGGTAAAGGACCGAAAATATAATAGTTCGTGTAAAATTTAACAAAAAAGTTAAAATAAAAAATGCATTTTTATCTTAATTGCCATGTGTTGTTGTCAGTTTTTTATATTAGCTTTATTAACAACTTTTTATATACAATATTTGGTGTTCTAATTTTAACACTTTTAGTCTTTCTAAAGATTTGCCTTTTTTGAAGTACTATCTAATGAGTGTACATCTCAAAAATGAAAAATTCTGCCTATAAATATTTATTTTCGGGAAAAACGACCATCCAATGACTTTTTTTTAAAATTCTATCTAATGAGTGTACATTGCAAAAATGAAACATTCTACCTATAAATATTTATTTTCGGAAAAAACGACCATCCACGGACTTTTTTTTTTAATTCTATCTAATGAGTGTAAATTTCAAAAATGAACAATTCTACCTATAAATATTTATTTTCGGAAAAAACAACCATCAACGTTTCTACCTAAATAAAACACTTATAAATAATTAATTTATTTCAATGTATATCCGAATATTGAACGAAAACGTACTTAGTTTCAAAATTATTACTTAAAGCTTAAAAAAACAATAAAAATGTAACAAAATAGTTTAATAAAATAATATAAATATAAAAAAAAAAACATATAATAATAAATACAAGGTTATTAATTAAAATATTTTGTTTTAGAATAAGATAAAATAAAATGCAAAACGCGAAAAAGCTAAATAAACTCAGTAAGCTTTTTTGTTAAATTTTACACAGATGGATATAGCTAGATGAGATAAAATGTTTTCATTTTAAAATAAAAGTAGCTTAAGTAACACCCCATTAACAAACTATCTGCGAATAAAAGTCCCATTAAAATCGGTTCAGCTGTTCCAGAAATTAGTCCAAACAGACCAAATATTTAAAAAAATGTTACTTTGTTATATTTAACATTATATATGCATGTAGTTAAAATTAATATTTTAATATTACAAACAGACACTACAATTTCATAAGTATAAATAAAAACTAGTGGGGTATGGCATCGTGCCTTAAGGCAAATTGCTGGAACTTCCCGTACCGTAATGAAATATTCGAGGAATTTCAAATGTTTTCAAATAGATTATTATAAATACTGTAACTTATATATGTTTACAAAAAAGTAAATAAACAAAACTTAATCAATGGAATTTAAAATGAAGGGCATTGTCTAATATTTATAAGAATTATATAAACTGAGTTGCAAAGTTAAAATTATTTATTTTAAGTATATTAGTGAAAAAAATTAAATCTGAATTGTTTTCGATATTCAAAAATTGAAAATAAAAAAAAAAAATTTTTTTCCCCCAAAAACAATTGTTTCGTCAACACAAGCAGAAAGTTTTTTGAATCATTCAAATCGGATGCTTAGTTCCCTCAAAAACTTCCATTTTTTGCACATTTAGCTCGGTATCTCCGAAACGGCTGGACCTACCTTTACCCAAAACTAATCACCACTTCTTCCAATCATTGCAAATTGAATGTTTTTTGGATCATTCAAATCGGATGCTCCGTTCTCTCAAAAACTCGATTTCTATTTTTTGCACTCTGCTTCGTATCTCCGAAACGGCTAGACCTGCCTTTGCCAAAAACTAATCAGCACAACTTCGTATCAATAGGAATCGAATGTTTTTTGAATCATTCAAATCGGTTGATCCGTAAGCCTGAGATCGTCGACGAAAAATTGTCTCCACATACACACATCCATTTTTTCTGAAGTATGTCAAAATGTTCAGAAACCTCTGAAACGTGAAGATATGCAAAAATTTTCGTTTTCGATTTTTGGCCCATTACTATAATTTACCCTACGGGAAGATAAAAATAAGATATTTTTGTTTAAAAACAAAACTCTCAATTACATCAGCTACTTGCCAATAAAAGTCTCATCAAAATCGGTCCAGCCGTTTCAGAGATTAGCCTAAACAGACTGATGGACAAAATTTTTAAAAAATGTTAGTTTGTAAACTAATGTTTAGGTTAAAAACACTGCTACTTAAATATTACTAGCTTTTGTAAGCCAAAATCCACCTATTTCTAACATCTTTTTATCTTTTAGGTCACGAGAAGACATTCCGAAGGCATCACACAACTAACAGAGTTCGAGTACCTTAAAAATATTCTGTACCAATATTTATCCGGAGGTGTTGGAGGAGTTGGAGCCAACACGAATAGTACCTTGATCAGGGTGATAGCTGCTGTTATGAAATTTGATGCTACACAAACGCAGACTGTTTTGGATAAGGAAGCCCAGAGGAACACTTTGGTAAAACCTTATTATATTCTCCTGATATCAAGCAGTATAACTCATATTTAATATTATTTTTTCCCCCAGCTGGGTCAACTGAACCTCATATAGCAACCGAAGTCATTCATCTCTTCCTACTTCAACTACAACAACTATCATCTAGAATAAGGATCACAACACAAAAAAATCTGGACTCAAAACTACAAACAATAATGCAGAGGCCAAAACTCACACTACTTGATAAAGTGATAAACAACATGATTCGAACAAAACAATCGAGATAAATAAATAACTAAAAAAGCCAACCAATGTGTTCAGCATTTTAATGGATATATAGTTGGGTAATGGAGAATAATGGGGTAAGAGATTTATAGAGTTATTTGGATGAAAGTGGATTGTATATGATATATATATGTATATTATATTGTATATATATATATATATATATATTATATTTATTATATTTTTTTCTGAACTTTTTTGCTTTTTTTAATTTTCAATTTTTGATTCATGTTTCAGAGTTTCAGAAATAGCTAAATAGCAATTTGAACTTTGAAACATCAGCAAATTTTGAAATGTTAAAAATTTTCTAAATTTAACTTTAGAGTTCGAATACAAAACTGATATATATATATATATATATATATATATGTATATATATATATATATATATATATATATATATATATATATATATATAATAATAATAATAAGGTACATATATTATCAATGACCAAATTCCATTATCATTAGCACTTGTACTATTACTTTCCAAATATTTCATTTATAACGTCAAAGGTTTCAATATGCATTCTAAGACAACTGAAAATTAATAACATATATTTATGTGATTAATTTAAATTTTTACTTTTTGAATGCATGTATATATATATATATATATATATATATATATATATATATATATATATATATATATATAACAAATGTATTCTGAGTGGTTAACTATTAAATTAGAAATATGAACAAACACCACACTTTTTGCCCTAATTTATTAAATAATATTAATTTTACAAACGTTTCGAGACTATGTTTGTCTGTGTATTTAATAGAATACACTGATGATGAGACAAACCTATCTAGACTCGAAACGTTTGTAAAATTAATATTATTTAATAAAATAGTGCAAAAAGAGTCCTGTTTGTTCATATTTCTGATATATATATATTCTTGATAAATATAAACCGAAGTAACTTTGTCATGTTTGTGTTCGATTCGAAATGAAGTTTTATACGTAGATGAGTTTTACACGTTTTTAGATGTTATAGTATATAGGAAAGATTATTTGTTGCAATATTTGACGAGATGTACATATACATATAAAATATAGGATTAAATATTTAAAAAGATATATAAATTAAAGTTCTTTAAGCAGACATCCATACAGATAATAGAAACAAAACTAAATTATGTTATTGTAAAGTTTTAATAACCCAATTATCTCTAATTCAGCCAAAAAACCTACAAATTATTTGGGAAGCATAAAATCTACATTCTATGAAAAAAATACTTAATAGAAAAAGAGTAGTTTAATAGTATCAATAGTATTTAATTTCAATGAATTATGTTTATATGTTTTTTTAAATAATTTGCTTTTTATCTACTGAAAAAGAGTAATTTCAAGACTCGAAGCAAAAGTGATTTTTATTTATGAATTTATAAAATTTATAAAAGGTAAATAAATTTACCTACGACGACAGTCACAAGAATTTGAAGAAATAAAATAATAATTTACTTGATTTGAAAACACGAGAAATAAATTTTTGTTTGTAAAAGATTAAATAAAATTTTAAAGTTTATTCATTAAATCTAGCAAATAGCACAAGTTTGTATTTTTAAAATTGTGTTTTAATATATAGTATGTTTAAAAAAACAAACATGATTTAGTTCCTTCTCTCTTTTCTGAATGGATGTCTTAAAAAGCTTTTGCTTTTATCTTTATAATATATATATATTATATATATATATATATATATATAAATATATATATATATATATATATATATATATGTATATATGTATATCTATGATTCCTGGACAAACAATGTTTGATCTTCAATATGTTTTAAACATTCTTTTCAAATAAACACTTTCTAGTGAATCTATTCAATTTTTTCTTGAGAAATGTTTATAATTTTTTTAAATTATTTATAATAATTATATATGTACAAATGCATATATATCATATAATTTATTACCTATACCTATACTTTATATATAAATCCATGATATAAATCCAGAAAGTACAAAAATCATATATTTATAAAAATAAATATACAATCAAAACAAAAATAATATAACTTTTTATCTAATATATGGTATTATTATTATTTTTTTTTTTGGTTTGTATTAATAAATGTAAAGTTATTTTTATAAAAAAACTGATTCGAGTACTTAGTTTGATATTATCGTGGATTTTTATTTATAAAGTTATAGAAAGAAATAAATTGTTTGATCTGACAATTCTGTATATAATTAAAATCTACAAAACATAAATAATTTAAAAAATATTTTATAAATATTTCTAAAGGAGAAATTTTTTACTACCCGAACACATTTTTATATGTATATGTACATGTTGTATATATGTATATATCATCATAGTTAGATTTACATAACATTTATATTAAATTTTCTAGATATTTATAACAGCTTATAGTATTAATTATATTATCAAATATCTGTCCCTCCCTTAAATGTATATAAAATATTATAATTTCTTTGCCAAGAGCTTTAAAAAAGCCTTCTTGAGCCTAAATGCAAATGTATTAGATTTTATATCGTTGTTAATTTTTCTGTTTTAGATAATTAATAAAATTATATAGATGAATTTTGTGGGAATTTTTTACACCAATGGCATTACTAACCTTCATTGACAGTTAGTCATAGAGACATCAAACTTAAGTGACAGTTAGTACTGGTACACTAGTACACAAAATTTAGTCTAAACAATATTAGAATATAATATATTAAACAATGTCTGATGAGAAATTATCAATATATTTTAAGCTATCAGGTTGGAATAAATAAACTAAATCGTTTGCATGAAGAAGGATATAAACATATGAATGGGTATACGGGCTGGTGCAATCTTTTTATTTTGAATCGATGGCATTACTAACCTTCATTGACAGTTAGTCGTGTATACATAAAACTTTATCTTCAATGACATTCATGTACACTTTTATTTTTGAACCTAAGTCTAGACAATATTAGAATATAATATATTCAGAAATTATTAATTTATTTTAAGTCATCAGGTTCGAATACATTTGTCTAAACTTGACTAAATTGTTTGCACGAAGAAGGACAAAGACGTATGATTGTCTATTTGGGCTGGTGCAATCTTTTATTTTGAAGAGTATAAAGACATTTTGTAAATTTTGTAAATAAGTAATAATATAATATTGTATATGTTGCATTTGGGTAGTAGGGTGATACTGCATCACCAGTTATATATAAATAAATTACATTTATATTGTTTAAAAGCAAAAGTGAAAAATTTGCACTTACTTTATGTCATGTGTCAAAAGGGCCTTTGCAAATTTGTCAGTAGGACCTCGCGCACTTTTTACCAATTAAATTATTTATAACAATTTTGTTCCTTAAGTCTTAATTAAACATATATACACACTGTAATTAATATCATCAAATTATATTTACTATTAACACTGCATCATTTGTACAATTGTGCAATTTTATTCTACCAGGCCATAGTGTCTTGTTTCACGCTAAATAAAAGCCTTAAAATAACGTGCCCGATTTTACATACACGTAGTTAAACAAAAAAGTTTTACTTACTTCTTTATTAATTAATTTAACGACTTAATGTTTGATGTTAACTGATGGAGAACATAACCTAGAAAATGGTTTTGCTCGTTCGTTCGTCCAGATGAATTTATTTATATACAAGACTGTTTAATATATGCACAGAATATTGTAATTTATTGTATTTGTTAATTTTTTATTTATATTAATGAACACTTTGCGATTTATAGATGATTTTGCGTTAATTTCGGAAGCACACTTCAAAATTGCTCAACGACTTCGTAATGGACATACGCGGGTACCAATGTTAAGAAAACAAAAACTTGAACTTTTGATAAAAATGTTTAAATTTTTTTAAATTTGCTTTTTTATCTGCTTATTTTATCTAGAAAATAATAATGGCTATTAGTAATGAATAAATATTGTTTTAAGTGTAAATACCAAAAAGTTCAAATCTGTTAGTTTTCTCTATCCATGTATGTTTATTTATCTATGTTTCAAATTTGATTTTATTTATCAGTTTTCAAATTTGGTGAAATCTATTATTAGTGGATTTAAATTCAAATTTGCATTCTATTTTGTTCTATTAGACTCTACTTCTACTATACTATTATTTTCATTCATTATTTATAAAAAATAATCATTATTATTAAATCAGATCCTAAATGGGGCAATTCAACAGAATCTTTGATGATCATAAGATTCTTCCTTGCTTGTTTAAGTAAAATACGCCTGATCGCACGGTAAATAGACAGACATTTTCATAATTTTCAATATCAAGAGAGTGTTGCCATGACAACGCTATTTTATGAGCTCTGTTACGGCAGAATTGCCCCATAAGATAATTTTAGAATCTGTATTTAGTCATTTAGATAAATTAACAATTTCTTCAAATAAAGTTTATCCAGTCATTTTCCTTACTGCATACATTTATGCCAGATAATTTGAGTCAGATAATTTAAAAGAACAAAATATGTTTTATTTGTAGACCTAAAATACCAATATAGTCTTTCTCTATTTTCGGTTTGTCCAAATCATTAAGATTTATAACTATAAAGACTCCAAAAAATTCAACTCTATCCATTTTAATCGATAAACTATAACAAATGAATTGGCATACAATTGATATTTTTATCTTGAATTATTAACCAGGTTCAAATCAATACTATTATATTTATTTAAGTTGATTTGATAATTTCTGCTGCTTAATTTAGGACTATCGTAGAGAGCTGGAAACAAGCCCTCGATTAAAATTTCAAATTAATTCCATCTTCATTTCTATTTTCCATATTTGTATATAATAAATTTTATTGTAATAGCTCTAATTTGGTGAAATCTGTTACAAGTGGTTTTAAATAGACTCTATTTAAATTTGCACTCTATTTTGTTCTATTAGACTATACTTTTATTATATTTTATTATTTTCATTCATTATTGATCAAAATAATAACATATTTATGTCACAATGTATGTGAGATAATTTGAAAGAACAAATAGTCTTTCTCTATTTTTGGTTTGTCCAAATAATTAGATTTATAACTAGAAACACTCAAAAAGATTCCACTCTGTCCATTTTAATCGATGAACTATAACAAATGAATTGGTTTACAATTGATATTATTATCATGAATTATTAACCAGATTCAAATCAATACTTCTATATTGATTTAAGTTGATAACAGCCCATGATGAAATATTTTAAATAGACTATATTTCGATTTCCATATCCCTTATTTCTATATAATAGATTTTATCCTAGTATCTTATTAATTTTTAAATTCCTTAAAGTTAATTCTTTGTTTAAATATTCAATTCTTGATTCAATCAGTACATAAAACGAAATATTTAAATATGTAACCAGTTTTAAGGTTTATTTTGCGTTGTGACAAATTTTAAAATATTCACCAAGTGTTTTTTACATAAGTACTTGCTTTCAAAGCGATGAAACGATTGTAATATATCACACTTCTAGATATAAATCACATTAACAATGTATTCTCTATTTTATTTTTCAATAATAAAGTAGATCAAAAATAGTAACAAAACTAAGTTATCAAAAAGACTTTATGAATATTAAGATAGATTTTTTTTCTTATTATTTATGAAACAAGTTTTTGCCTTTGACTTAACAATGTTTACATCTAGTTTTATTATATTTTATAATAAATAAAGTGGGGGCATGTTATACAAACAATTATCAATATCAAAAAATATTTATTTTAATTAGTACATGCAATCATTTGTTCTACTTAACCAGTTGCAAAAATCTTATTTATAAATTAAATCAATTAGAGATCCTATTATTACTATTCTAAAAATGCACACCTTATTCCAGCAGTAAAATCATCATAATTCACACAATTTTACTCTTAAGAGTATTTGCCGAATTGTTAAATATTTTACAAAAATATTTACTAATTGTTATTAACTAATTGTGTATATAGTTAAATTGATATTTTCATTTTAATTAATTTAATAAGTTAATTTTCATTAACTTATGAATAATTTTTGCTAGCTAGATTAATTAAAATAAGTATTAATAGAGAAAAGACAGTGTTGGTTTGAATAAATATAAAAGTGGGTGCAGAAAGGATTCTTAATTGAATTATTGTTTATGTATTTATATATATATATATATATATATATATATATATATATATATATAAATTATACAAGCAATTCCAATGTCGAAAAATATTTATTCTAATTAGTACATAAAATAATTTGTTCTACTTAATCAGTTGCAAAAATCTTATCAATAATTTAAATTAGTTTAATTAGAGATCCTATTCTTACTATTCTAAAAATGCACACATTATTCCTGCAGTAAAATCATCAGATAATTTTACTCTTATTATATATTTGCCAAATTGTTATTTTTTGCAAAAATATTTACTAATTGTTATTAACTAATTTTGTAAATAGTTATTGTGTAGTTAAATTAAAATCTTCATTTACTTATTAATAATATTAGATAGTTAGGTTAATTAAAATAATGCCAAGTGTAAGGCAGTGTAAATTAGAATCTTAAAATAATTAACTAATTTGTACATAAATCGAAATTTGATGGCTTTTTCAATACCATATTATATACATATTCTTAATATATTACAAATTGTGTTGAATATTCAAAATAATATATACTACAAAGTAAAATGCAATTAATTCCTTTGTAGATAATTTATAAAACGAGGCGATATATCATTTTTTTCAGGATAATAATCTTGTTGATCATCAACATGATTCCATGTTAAATTCTCTACATACTCAGATTTCAAATAAGATTTTATAGTCTTTTTCTTTTGTTCATTCTGTGGAGGCTCTTGTTGCAGCGACTGTTTATTTTTATTCAAATGAGACCGGAGTCTTTCACGAGGTGATAAAATACCACCTGATTTCGGTTTAAATGAATCATTATTACCACATACTATTTTAAACTTATCGGTCCTCTGAGTTGTGAATTCATTATCATTATTACCACAAACTATTTTGAACCTATCGGTCCTCTGAGTTGATTTGAAATCATTATCATTATTACCATATTCTATTTTGAACTTATCGGTCCTCTGAGTCGGTTTGAAATCATTATCATTTCTGTGAGATGTTTTATAGTCATTATCATTGTAAGTCCAACGTCCATTGGGAGAGGATTTTGTGTTTGTTTGGTTTCTGGAACTGAAAAATTGTCTTGAGGCATCTCCGGAGCATCTTGCAATGTTTTGGCATAGATTTGAAACTAGTGCATCAGCCTCATTTAAACGGTCACTTTGTGCTGTCTTCATAGGTGGTCTGAATGATCTGGAAGTTACTGCAGGATTTGTCGAGGGTTGTTTATTAACATAATCATTAGATATGTCTGTTTTTGTAGGTACATCAGTGTCTTTACTTAAGGTTTTAACTTGTTCGGTCCTGGAGGTTTGATCAAAAGGGTTATTTAGATTTTCAGCAGAAATTTTAGCTGCACTTTGAACAGTTGTAACATGCTCAACTGTTGTATGCTGTTTATCAACAGAATTTTGTTCTGGCTCAACTATACTTGTTTGTTCTACAGCTCTATTAATATTTTCAATAGAAGCTCTAATAATTTCTTCTCTACTTGGACGTCTACTACTAATTTCTTTAACTACACTAGAACTACGACTTAAAACTTTTTTGTTCTCATCATCTTTCTTTGGCTCACTTTTAACCTCCTCAGTTCCATTAATTTCAGTCTGTTTATTTTCAACAGAGGTTTCCTCGTTATCCACAAATTCCTTTAACAATCCATTATAAAATTGTTCCACTTTTGGATTCATGGACGGACAATATGTGTACGAATAATCTAAACAAAACATGTACCATAATCTAATTGATTTATCCTCTGATTCGTCTAAGTAAATTCTTTGACGTAACAGGTTTAAAAGTTCTGCATATTCTTTGGGGTGGGATTTTGCTATTCGTTCACCATTTAATGTAATCTGAAAGAAAGATGAAATTTCTTATAACTTGCTATGTTAAAAATAAATAAATTTATCTAGTAATTTAAATTTAATCTGCATGACTTACCTGTGTTGTGAATTCTTTAGCTGACCTTTTTGTGTTCAAATTTAGAAATGTTTTCAAATATTCCAAAAGAGGTTTTACGAGCCAGTCATATGGTAAACCTTCTGGTGATCGTGCCCTGTGAAAAAGACACATATAAATATATATACATATATATATATATATAATATATATATATTATATACATATATATATATATATATAATATAATAATAAATATTTTTTATTTACTTGCTGTAGTACTGGCTAAACAACGTTGTTGCATTGAACAATTCATCCAAATTCGATTCTTGCATTTCATCCAATCCTAAAATAAAATTGAACAATATTATAATGCTAACTTGATAATAATTTACAACATATTATTTATGCAAGGTAATATATTACTAATATAATCTACAAAGACAAAAGATTGATTTATTGAATGTAGAATTCAGTATTTGAACAATAAGAGCATTTTAATTTTCATTTCAAAGGACTGTTTCTCTTTTATTTATAATAAAGTCTTTAGTTATAATAAACATAAAATTAAATTGATTAATTTAAAATACGTTATTTGATAGCTGTATAAATAATTTAATACTATTAAATGAATAAATATAGATATTATTTATTAAATTGTTTTTGTTAAAGAATAAGTATTTTTTTTTGAAGAACTGTGGTTTCTGTTTAAATTCTTTAAATTTAAATTATCTTCGATAAATAATAAACGATTTTATACAATTAATTAAAAAATTAATTAATTCAACAGCATCAATTAATTTAAAGTAATTATCTCAACTAAATATTTATAATTTCTTTGAATATTTTAATAAAGAATCATAGTTTTTGCTTAAATAATTTTTAAATTATCTTTGACAAAAAATAAACGATTTTTTAATTTAAAGAATCAATCAGAATTAATCAATATAAAATAGTTAATTATGATTTCATATGGAATCATGGTTTTTGCTTGAAAATTCTTTAAAGTTATGAATAATAAATATGTTTTATTCAGTCCAAATAAAAAATGCACATGGATCTAACAGCATGATCAATATAAAATAGTTATTTTTACTAAAAAGATCCTATAATTAATAATACATGCATTCTACTAATATTGATATGTTTTGCATTAAAACTTTATACAAAAAAAACAGATACTTTATACCCAGATCTCGTGTCTTTATCAACTAATTTATATAAAAAGTAATTCAGATCTTATGCCTCTATTAGTTATTTTATACAAAAGTTTTATATAAATTTGTTGATTAAAACTTACTCAAATAATTTTCCTTCATTAAATTAACCATGAGCAGTAATAATTTTTGACTAAATATTTCCAAAGTTTGAAACAATCTTGATGCACCAAATTCTGCTAATTGTTCTGCAAAAATGGAATCATTTAACGCTTGCTCGTTCAGTTTGCTGAAGATATCTCTGAAAAATAAGAAAAAATATTAATAATTAATATATATATATATATATATATATATATATAATGTAAAATATCACATACAGCTTTTATTTATTTTATCTATTATCTTTTTTATCATAAATATAACTTGTTCGACTTGTAATTTATAAAAATCTTGTAACATGTCTAGTTCTCGAATGAGAATATTTATTACACATATAGAATGTTTAAAGAATAACAAATAAAATATTAGCAGACATGACGAAAATATTTATAAACGTGGTAAACAAAAAATAATCTGAAAATACTTTAAATAAAGACAACTAAACATATTTTTCTCCAACTATACATTCTCTATAAACTTCTATATAAAAGGGTTACTATTTTTTTAGTGTTAACTTATTCAGTATTTATTATTTTAACTTATTCAGTATTTATTATTAATAGAGCTCCATCATCAGATATACATTTAATTTTTTTTATTAATATATAGTAATTTTCACACCTGTCCTGAAATGTATTTATTTCAATTTAATTTAATTCAAATTTATTTAATAGTTTTCAGGCAAGTGTTCTACAACTTTTTTAATTATTTTATACCATTTTACAAACAAATAAAAAATATTTTTATTAAACCATTATTTATAAATATTTGCGACATGTATTTGTTACTCTTAAAATATTCTGTAAGTATGTAATAAATATTCTTCGAGGTGTTACAACAATAAATTCTCTACATATATTTTTATCTTCAAATTTAGTTGCTAAAAAAATTTATTACAATACCATTGATAAGTTTAAAATATTCAATCTCTTTAATTAATTAAAATCGAGAAAATTATTAAAGATACTAATGTGATAATAGAAGCTTGGATAAAACTCTATTTATATATTTCTTGATAAGTATTGTCTATAAATACAAAAAAATATATTTATTTTTAGTTTTATAAACGAGTTCAGTACAAAACTATTGATATGTTTAAAAATTTAATCTGAGATAGTAAAATGAAGTAAATTATTAAAAGATATTGATATTAAATTTTCAATATTATTAAATGATAGTGTGGTAATAAAGCCTTCGATAAGTATGTATATTCACAAACCTGTATGCTGTCTTAATAAGTATTTACAATTGTATATATAGATATAAATTTATATTCAATTATAATTTTTTTAGTAAAAGCTATAGATATATTTCAAAATTCAGTCTCTTTAATTTAAATCAAATTAATTATTAAATAAAACTAATATTGTGGCAATACAAGCTTCGATAAGACTCTATTTTTATAATTCTTGTTAAGTATTCATTATAAATACTAAAAATTATATTTATATTCAGTTATTAGAAGAGTTTACATTAAAACTATTGATCCGTTAGAAAATTTAGTCTGAAATAGTAAAATTAAATAAATTTTAAAAAAAATGATAGTGTGGTAATAAAGCCTTCGATAAGTATGTATATTTACAACCTGTATGCTGTCTCGATAAGTATTTTTAATCTGTATATATAGATATAAAGTTATGTTTATTCAGATATAATTTTTTTTAGTAAAAAAAACTATTGATATTTAAAAAAAAATAGTCTCTTAAATTTAAATCAAGCAAATTATTAAAAAAGCTAATGTGGCAATAGAAGCTTCGATAAGACTCTATTTATATATTTCTTGATAAGCATTGTCTATATATATGAAAAATGATATTTATATTCTTAAATATTATTAAATAGTTATAAAAATGTTATTAAAACAGCTTAAAATAAAACTATTGGTACGTTTAAAAATTTCAGTCTCAGATAGTAAAAACAAAAATATTAAATGATAGTGTGATAATAAAGCCTTCGATAAGTATGTATATTTGCCTGTATATATAGATACAAATTTATGTAATATTCAGTTATAAAAATACTATTGTAATATTTAAAAAATGCATTCTCTTTTATGAAATGTAAATGAATTATTAAAAACTATGATAATAAAAGCTTTGATAATTATCAAAGCTTATACTTAAGTATGTATATTCTTAATTAAATGTTTCTCGATAAGTATTTTCAATCTGTATTTATATATTATAGATACCAGTTTATATTTATATTCACTTATTAAAAAAGTTTGTTACAAAACTTTTGATAAGTTTGAAAAACCTGTCCTGTCTCTATAATTAAAAATCAATCAAAGTATTAAACATTTGTCTCAGAGTTTTCACAAAAATATTAAATATTTGTATATTAATAAGGATATCTCTTACCTCAAATGTTTAGCACTAGTACATTCCTTTTGAAATACACTTTGTATATATTTAAATTTCTGATTCAATTTAATTCCATCGTCTCCATTAACATCAATTGAACGAATAGCATCGATTATTTTATTACAACAACTATCCATTTTGGATAAAAGCTCCGAAACACCAAAATGTAGAGAAATATCTAAAAGCACTTGTGTCCTTTTCGATCACAAAAACATGAATGATTTAAAGTACTTTCCATAAGGAAATTTAGTCAAATAGCACAGGTAGAAAAAGGGTTTTTAAAGGATTCAGGTAGAAACAGGTGCGTTGTAATAAATAATAAATGTTGCCAAATTTTTAAAGGACATACGGTTTTGAGGTTATGTTGCGGTAAATGTTGGAAAATAACACGAGTTTATAGTTTTTTTTACTATTTTTTACATGCGTAGATAATGTTTTAGGTAAATATTTTTATATTTATCGTGAATTAAATGTTGTTTTTACACATGTTTATACCATGACTGAGTTTGTGTAATGTGTGCGAGTTGAAACTTGTTTTCAAGCGTCGTGTGCGAGTGACGTAGATTTAAGATGGAGGCCGAAGGAATATTTTACATTTTATTTTATTTGGTAATTTAATTTTGCTAAGAATTGCTAAAAGTATTGCCGAAAGAGTTTTAAAAATTAAATAAATAATATAGATAAATATACATGCTTGAACGTTATCACAAACGAAGTTTGATAATTATCGTTTAAAAATGTAAAGTGACAGCTTGTTGTTTGTGCCGCCATTGGAGATGATTTTTTGGAACTTAATTTAAACACTGCAAGTACTTTATATTAATTTTTTACACATTATTCAAATAAGCACACTTATAGAAAAATGAGATAATTAAATTATTTATTATTAAATTTTGTTTATTATTAAATTATTTATAAAATTGTTTTTATCTTCGGATGTCATCGAACATGTTCGGCTCAGGGCAAAAGAGTTGTCAAAAAGGACATAAAATTTGCAATTTTGTGTTATTTATTAATTAAAGTTGTTAAAAGTATTGATTGAATTTTAGAGCAATAATACAAGTAAATGAACATGCTAAGAAGTTATATTAAATAAGCAACTGGATAATAATGTTTGCAAAATGTAAAGTGACATTGTGTTGTATTGGCCGTTATTGGGGATGTTATTTGGGAACCTAAATTAAACATTGTAAGTACTTTATACTTATTTTTATATATTCAATCAAATAATTACACTTATTAATAATAAAATAAGGTAATTAAATTATTTATTATAATTGAATTTGGTTTATTATTAAATTGTTTCTATATTCGGACGTGTTCGGTTCGTTCCGTTTGATGACGTCCAATAGCAAACCAGGATAATACAGCTGTCAAAATTGACATAAACTTTTGAATTTTGTTTTATTTATTAATTTGAAAAACAAATTATTAAAAGTATTTACTAAATATTATTGTTAAAATCTACGGAGATATATTAATAATATTATATAAAACAAATTTTATAAATGTCAGATCATAAGTTGAATAATCCAATTGTTTTATAATTATATTAAAAAAAATGTAAAATAACATTTGTTTATGAAAATTTCTAATTTTCTTTTATTTATTGCATAATTTAAAGTGCAATTATTTATTAAAAATATTTATGAATAATACAGGCAAAAGCTACAAATTTGTAATAACAATATTATAATAAATACATACTAAAAATAACAATTTTTAAAATATGAACTGACATTTGTTTAAGAAAGTTCTAAATTTTGTTTTTGAAATACAAGTACTACTATTAACTAAAAGTCAGATAAATACAGATAAATGTTACAAAGTTATAAAAGTCTGAAAAATAATAGTTATAAGTGCCATTGGTTAAAGAATAATATAAATATAACCCTTGGTATACTCTAAAATCTATTTTAAATAATAAAATGCCATAAATAATATAAATGCATTTATTTATATTTATATTAATTAATTAATAATGATAATAATATACATTTTTACAATCAAATTAATTTATTTTAATTGTAATTAAACTTTCAATTGTAAGCAAAGAAAAAAAAAGTTACATAACTTTCAGTTTAAATGCTGTTTTCAACAATTTTTAAAACCAACAACATTCCTATAAATATTGTTTTTTTTTTATTTATTTATTTATATTTTATTTTCATCTCTCAGTCAGACAGGGGTATCTGGTATGAGAGATTATGAAACAATTTTCTTATTCTATATATACATATTATTTGTCTATTTCATTATACTACAATATAATATTTATTATAATTAAAATATTTATTCAATCTTCAATTTCCTTATAATATTCCTTTATTTTATAATCATACAATTTTAGTTTAATTTCTAATTTATTATGAGTAAGTACATTTGCCACAAGATACATGTCTATTATCCCTACACAACTTTATGTGAAGAATCAATACATTCAAAAAATGTACAAAATACGAAGGTTACACGACAAAATTTAATCGCAATTAAATCATTTACACAAATAAATAAAATATACTTAACTGATAAATCATTATTATTATTAATATATATAGCATTTGCATTTTGCACTCGACGTCCTTGTTCGTTTAATTTAGAAAGGAGTAAAAGTTTTATGTATGAAATAGAATGGGTTTTATTATTTTTTTCCTACAAAGTTATATAAGATTTGTAAATTTACTAATGTTCCTGGTATTAATATTTATTGTAATTGCCAGATGAAGAATGTTTCATTTGTATTAGATATTGTTATTTATTAAAAACAATCTTTTTAGCTTCCCGAAGAAGAAGTTTATATTTATATATAATTATATAGTTTATATTAGAAAATCCTATTAGCTAATTTTTTAATTACGTTTAAATGACGTTTTAAGTCATTCTGAAGCGTTTGACACTGAAATTGAAAAATGTAGGTGTTTTTAAAAATGTTTTATAAATATCGGTCCAGCCGTTTTTCTTGATTTTTTTTTTAATTTTGATAAAACCTTATATGATTAAAAAGTTCACAGACTTAATAAATATCCTCTAAAATATTATAGTCTTGCTAAAGGTTATGGAATTATAAAAACTCATTCATGTTTGGAATAATAAATAATAGTCTTATCATAACAATATTAAAAATTGCTATCAATTCTTATTGATTAAGCAGATTATTTCCATATATCGGGAATTAGCTTCAAGGCAAAATTCCACTTACAACTAGTATTATATATTTTTTATAAACAGGTACTTTAAAATTTAAAAGAACTTTTAGGCTATTTATTTATCAAATACAATACTGTATTTGGATTTTAAATTAAATGATAATTCCTTTGATGTCCAAAAATGTGAGACATAGAGACTTTAATTTTTTGAAAATTTAGAACTTTTTTTCAAAGCAATCGCGCTTTGTAGCTGTTTTAGAGACAAAATTGTTGAGCGCGTAAGCGCTGTATCGCAGTCTAACGATTGAACGTTGGTGCGGATAGAAATGTAAGCAAAATTTATACTCATTATTAAAATCTCTATAAAATATCTGATAATTTGATGTGCATATGTCTAAAGATCATTTTTGACCGCAAAAATGGCGTTTTTTACTTTTTTTTTTCATTGAAACTCCATAACCCCTGGACTTACCTTTCCAAAAATTTAAACAGTTCTTCGTTTAGTCAATATAAGTAAAATGTTATTTAACTGAAAAAAAGAACTGTTAAAATCGGACACTCCGTTTTCTCAATTAACATTCTTGGCACTTTTTGCCCCGTATCTTTGGAACGGCTAGACCTGCCTTTGCCAAAAACTAATCAGCACGTCTCCTTATCAATACGAATCGAATGTTTTTTGAATTATTCAAATCGGTTGATGGGTGTTTTCGAAATCGTCGACGAAAGTTTGTATCCGCATACACACACATACATCAATTTTCTAAGGTATGCCAAAATGTTCAGAAACCTCTGAAACGTAAAGATATACAAAAATTTTCATTTTCGATTTTTTTGCGATTACTATAACTTATCCTACGGGAAGTTAATAAATAAGTAGAAGAAAGTAAGTACTATCTTGATTTTATTCAAGACTGTTGCTTTTTGGTAAGCAATTAAAAATTGAAAGATAATATTTGATCTTTAAATTATTATTTTCATCTTCTAAAAATAACTTTACCATAATCCTCACATCCGTGCATAGGACATCAAAAAGAATTTGTATGTCATAATTTATTTTCGACTAATCACTCACAAAACGTCTCCGAGATGAAAATAACTTGGAAACAAACTCATTAGCGTCATATGTGTTTTATTTTTAAACATCGACTTTTACTTTGAAAACTAACTTATATATTATTTCTCTATTTCGAAGACTCTTTCGCAAAGTACGACGCATAAAGTGCATTGACATAAGCGAAAAAGTAATATTAATATGATAGAAACTAGTGGTGCATGGCATCGTGCCTTAAGGCAAATTGCTGGAACTTTTCGTACTGTAATTAAACATTCGAAGAATAAAAATAATCAGTCAACAGAAATGTCTATGAATAAATATTATAGAAACTAGAATTTTCATTATTTGTTCCTTGTGGACAAAATGTGAAAACTTATTAGATTAGACGACGTTGTTTATATATGTTTGAATGAAATATATATAAACAAAATCTAATTAAGCGGACTTATTGTTACAATGAACATATTTTATTTCAAATGCAACAATTTTTTGTTGGCGAAATATATGCACTGAGTTAACAATTTTAAATAGTTCATGTAGTAGGGTAGGGCGGGGCTAGTTGAGCATAGGGGCAAGTTGAGCAATCGAAATATCTCGAAAACTATTCACCGTCCGTTTAGGCATTATATGGAGGAAAGATAGAGTTTTGGAAGAAATAAACATCCCGCGATCGCTAGTGGCCGCTGGATAAATGAGTGAGGCTCACAGGCGTTTTGTTTATTTTGAGACCAAAAAGTAAAAAAGTCATTCATCACGAGTTTTCGTCTAGTTTAGTCAAATGTTATTTATTTTTAACCAGGCAAATGTTATTCTTTCATATAATTATAGTACTTTTAATATGCACAGAGATTCTGGGTATAAATCTCACGGTGTTTTTTTTAAACTCACTTTTATTTTAAAATTTCGAGTGGGGCTAGTGAGCATAGTTACTATACTT